ATATTAGAATGAAAATTGGAGTATTTAAAAGACAACATTAAATCTCTCTTTTTTTACAGCTTGTATTTACAAAATGAATCAAAATATCTTTTTAAATTCAGGACACAATAAAATAACAAACAGCTGGAAATAAGCAGACTACTGTAAGAGTGAAATGAAAAGAAAACCCAATGTATGTGAAAAGTTGGATGATCTTCTAATAAAGATCATTAGCAAAGTTTTAGTACAATACTATTTTTAGGATACCCATAAATGGCTTGCATTTTTAGTGTGGCAGAAAAGGAATTTTTACATACTGTACACAAAACAGACAGATATATTTATAGGTACAGTATTACTGTTTCCAAACTTGCATGTATATTTACAGAAGGCTGAGTTTGTTACTCACGAGTTTTGTGAAATTTGTGTGCTTAATCATCAAGACCTACACACAATTAGAATCAGCATTTCATGTGGTCTTTTTAAATGTGGGTCTAATACTTGGTTGTAGAAGAAAGTGTTAACCATAGGCTTGGCATACTTTATAAATTTACTTTAACAACCCAGAAAAAGAATTTGGATTGGGGCACACTCATTGTTATTTAATAATTATCAAATGCTGGCATGTGCTGGCCATTGTGCAGACACAAAGAAATACAATCTCTATCTCCAGGAAGCGTAGGTTATTGAATGGTGCTTTAAAAAAGAGTTTCCATCTCTTTCTATGTGAAGCAGTAAGGAATGACATGACTTGTAGTAAAAGAGATTTCTCCTTAAACTGTAGCCAATTCACTTTAAAAGGTTAACTATTAGCATTAGCTTTCATTAACCACATGATTGCATTTGTAATTAAGTTAACAGCAACTCTTCCATAAAAATGGAAAATGTCTAAATTGTGGGTAAATATGCAGTGCATGGAAGCCAATAACCATGGCTTGAGAATTTATCACTTTCAATTACAAAAAGTGCAGTAAACAGAAACATTTGCTCTATATTTATAAATTGCTCAAAAATCTTTGCTAAAGATCTTACAAATTCAGTAATATTACAGAACAATTCTAATCAATATTTAATAAGGTTAACTACATCCTTAGTTAGATATTTGATATACTTTGATTTTTAACAATGCCAATAGGTCTTGGGAGAATAGGGGAAAGAGTTTAAACTCATTATTAAATGACTTTTAACATGAAGGTCCTTCGCTCAGTTCATAGAACTGGTCGAGGTCAGAATTAAAATAGAATTTGCTCTATTGGGCCATGTTCTGCCATGACAGTGGATGTCTTCAGACTTCTCATGGTTCAGGTAGGAGGGGAAAGGTTTATTCCGCCATCAAGCCACCAAGGATATTTTATATAAATACCTATTATCTATAATAGGAGCTAAGTACACAACCCTGTCAGTTGTCAATAATATAATTCCTTAGTAAGAAGAAAAAAAAAGGATTACTCCATTAAACTAGAGTGTTTTTTTAGGATCTTGAAGGCCTGGTAAATTATTTTTCAGCTTAGGAGATATTGTAGAAAGCCAAGTAGCAAACATAAAGTCAATGCTAATAAGTTTTCATATATCCATATTTATAAACAAATTCACCCTATTGATGTCAAATATCCATACTAAGGAAGTAATTTTATCCTAATTAAATACACTCTAGAATAATTTATATAATGATAGTACGTATTTAAAGAGAAAAGCATGTCCCAAATCCAGCACTCTGATACAGCTGCCAGTTGGGCATAGGTAGATATATATATATGTATATATATACAAATATATAGTTATACTCAGTGAAATTAACAAGACCCAAAGGTGGTATTGTCTAGGAATAAAAGGGTGTGTGTTTTTTTTGTTCACAAAAGTAACTTATCTAGCACCACACATCAGAAAAACACAAAAATAGCACACTCTAGTTCTAAACAGCTATGTCTAAAATAGATTATATAGTAAAACCAGTATTATACAGCATATTGTGGATTTGATAAACAGATAAATATTTGCACTGAGTAGGCTGTTTATAATATAACATTTTCTTATCTATACAGAATGAAAGCCAAAAAGTTAACTGTATAGAGATGTGCAGAACAACATTAAATATTATGACTCAAAAGCAGGGATGAAGGTAAATTTGAAAGAAGAGTAAGAGAGAAAATGTTTACAGGCCATTACAAGTTCTTAAGTTAACAGTAAATAAGGAATCAATTGCTCGAGTTGAGGAAAGCAGTAAACAAGAGATTGCATTTACATGCAGATGTCTAACATTTGTATTTTTTTAAGTCTATGCACAAAGGTCATTTGTTTTATTGCTTGACATTCAGTTATGGCTAGATATTTAACCTAGTTTTTGTACTTTGGAAACAAGAATATTGTTAAAGGTGCCATAAAAATGGACAACATTGAAAACGGTTTGCAAATAAACCACCTAACACTGCAGTTCTTTATACATATTAAAAGCCTTGTCTGGGGTTTGTCATATGTTAAATATATTTAAACTGGGAAAATATGTTGTAGCTTGAAGCCTCCCATTGGCCCAAACATCCAATACAAAAACACATCTCCACAAAAGGAGCAGGCAGACAATACAGGGACATTTAAAGAAGCAGCCAGCTAATGTCCTAATGTATAAAAATTTACCACTGTTTTATGTGAGATTTCAAACCATTGTGGATAGAAGAGAATTTTTGATTCAGGAAAGTGTGTACAGTACATATGAATTTTTTCATGTGTGCGTGAAATCATATTCACTCTATGCTCAAGAATGGTCTGCATTTACGTATGTAATCTGTTCACCGATGACCAAGTTCCTAGAAACAGTATTCATCCACATTGAAGTGATAATGAATGAGAAAGGAATTACACATGAACGCTGGAGAAATTTTAGTTGCTCGTGGAGAACAACATAATGGCATGTGCAGCATGTCAAAGCTGAGAGCGAGCTACCTTTCATTAGTTCTTAGGAGAAAAATAAGAAGTGTGATACTGCTAGTGTGGTAAACATGCTAAATGTAAACAGCAAACACGGATTTCTCTAGGCATCCATTTAAAATATTCATATTCACTTTCTTAAACAAGACTCCATTTTATGTTTCACTGCTGAAAAAACATTTCTCTTAGGATTCACTATGCTGTCACTCATTTATAAATAAATAAATGACTGGATGTATTTATTGCTTGAAGTTCTGAGGGTTTGTTTAAACATGAAGTCCCTCCTCCACCCCTTTCTACGATATTTCCTTGGTATGAAACCAGGCTTTTAGGTTATGTTTAAAACTGTTCTGAGAGCCCAACAAAACTGATCTCATTTGCACTAGCAAATAAGCAAACGGATCCAGAAGTGAAACCCATTGCTTTGTAAAGCCATTGCTTGCTAGCCTCCTCATCTCTTAAGGATAAACAATCATATAGGAAGGTCTCTTTAATGAAAGCTGGTGGAACTCTTCGCTAATACTAGTGTTTAGGGATAGGATGGTGGACTATTAGCAATAGATCAAGATTTAATGTTCCAGTTGCCTTTCTGGGCACATAATCTCATCCATTGTATAAAGTTGTTTTTATGGGGTTCTGCTGTGTCCTCCCTTTATAAGAAGTGGCAACCAAATGGTATAATATGTAAAATTGTCAATAATGTGTGTATATGCATATATGTATACATATATATGTATGAATATATGTATACATATATGAGAGAGAGATTTCTTCCCATTTCCATGGTATTTATTTTCAAAAATAAGGTAAAAGCTTCCTTTCCATCCAAATGACATAAAGAACATGTGCAAAAAAACATGAAAAGTTTTCCCAAATTATACTCTTGTGTGGTCTTAAAAAAATATCTGAATGTGTATTCCAAGTGTGAAATGGAAAAATCAAAGGCAACAATTACACTGAGGTTCACTGCCTTTATGGAAAGCAATATATTGAAATATGAGACCAAAACTGTATTTCAAAAATGTAAAACGAGACCCTAAAAGCTGGCTCATGCTATTGTTACCAGGTGGGTTTTTATCTTTAAACATTATCTCTTGTATTACTTCGACAGATTAAAAACTACAAATGTGGCCCTAACTGGTGTGGTTCAGTGGGTAGAGTGTCAGCCTACGGACTCAAGGGTCCCAGGTTTGATTCCGGTCAAGGGCATGTACCTTGGTTGTGGGCACATCCCCAGTGGGGAGTGTGCAGGAGGCAGCTGATCAATGTTTCTCTCTCATCGATGTTTCTAACTCTTTATCTCTCTCCCTTCCTCTCTGTAAAAAACCAATAAAATATATATTTTTTTAAAAAAGAAAAAAAAAACTACAAATGTGGAAGTAGGAGACGTGTTACATGAAGGGAGTTTTTTGGTTTGCTTCTAGAGATGAACCCAGTGAAATTAGTAGTTGTTTGCTGCTGTTAGAAAAAACATATTTTACCTTTTACCTCTCTCACTGCACTGATAGGCAGGGCCCTTATCTCATTCGGTTTAAACACTTGTATCCATATTATGTGGAATTTGAAGTAGTTTTTAATATATTGTTGAAGGCTATAAATATTTTTATCATAAATATTTTAACTATTTGAGAAATGGTAAATGGAGTATGCAAGATTGTACTTTGAATGATGCTCTCTGTTGGTGGATGACCTGTTCATTTATCTTTTGAACATACTGGCATAACTTTCCACAGTTCTGGAAGTTATTCAGTGTTTTTAAGTACACAAGACTGAAGAACACACGTTTTGAACTCAACAAAATGAGATGATAGTGACATTTATACACATGCAGTCGGTTCTACACAGTTCACTGTGCCTTGGAGGGATAGCATGATCATTATTATTAATAATAAAAAACACAATTTGTCCCAGTAGTACTGGCCACCCTGTTTTAAGAGTTTTAGAAGATCCCTGAGCACATTGTTTCTGACTCTTAACCCAACTCCAAAATGATAGGGCTTTCTATTTGTTGATATCAAGATGGATTGTCATTCACAGTAAGTCAATCATAAGGTGCTTATTTACCCTTTTTTTTTTTCACCAATCAGCACAAAGAACTGTCAGAAAATAACTTTTTATTATTAGTATCTTAATAGCACTCGAAGGACACATGATTTAAACAATCAATGTTTGAAACAGTGGCTTTAGGATTATTATCTGGCTGCCCCTCAACAATAACAAGTGATTCAGTCGACATTCCTTAGCCAAAAACAAAAAGAAACAACAATAATAACAACTGTACAAATATGTATTTTTCCCTGAGGGATCAAGGTACACCCGCGAGTGCTCTATGTACATATTGCACTAGAGAGGAATGAAGAACATGTGCAAAAAAGCAACGATGAGAGAAGCTTACATCCTACTTAAACCTTTTCGTTAAAGACTCTACTAGGTTGTTTTGCATTTTGGAATGTCGGAACACAAACAGCTATTCCTTAGTCTAAAACTAAAAACACATATTTCTACTATGGCACATTCAATGAAATAAAAAGTTTTCCAAAGACAGATAGACAAATTCCATCAAGAAAATAATACAAAGTTTGTTTGTTTGTATTTTTTTTTTAGAAAATTACATTACTTTCTTTCTTTGTTTCACATTACAAAATCTTTTTTTTTCTTTACACAAATCACATTTTATTGCAGGAATATTTCAAGTGCCATCAAATATTTATAGAAGGGTTAAAAAAATAGAAGTCTCTCTAAAGTGGTCCAGACAAGGCTTTGTATAGAATAAATCTTTTTATTCCCATCTTCTAGTTTTTTGATTTAAGTATTTTGAATACATTTTCTTTTCCATTGACACGTAGTAGCCTAGAAGCAGTCTGACACACGCAGGTCATACACAAAAACCACACACACACACACACACACGCACACACACACACTCACTCCCTCCTCACTTGACCCTCAGCCCACCCCTATACGCTCACAGACATCTGGGTATCCACACTATAAAGAACAACCAAACTTAGAAGCAGTGTCTTAAGTTATGTTTTCCATAAGTTAGGAAGGGTGAATTAGGATGCTGAAGACTTAAAAAAAAAATCCATAGCTTTAACGTAAATTAGGATGCTGAACACTTAAAAAAAATCCATAGCTTTAACACAATTTGCAAACTGTCCCAAAAAAGCACTTTCATCTGCACTTTTGATTTCATTGTGACCAAGGCCAGTTTCTTCACAATGGAATGCAACCATTTGGACACCGTTGTAACCGATGATATTGGGACTTTGTACAAAAGCCTCATTTAGTTGATGTAAAACATGCTGGGATGACAATGACGTGATTCCAATAATCAAAGGACTATTTAAGTTTAGGGAGCTTTATAAGAACTATTACAAATAATTTTCTGTATCACCAAATATTTTGTATCATCACACAGGTGTTTCTATAATAAGGAAGAAAATGAAAATGCAAAGTTTTTCACATCCTTTTCTATACGTCATATTTTGTCAGCTGAATTTATTGTTTAACTTCGGATCCCAACTTTGATCCAAATAATAGTCAGTTGTTCCCTCCTGCCACCGAGCATGCCTCTGCTATCTTGTTCCTACCCTACAGAAGTAATTTGCTTTTCTTTCTCAAAGATCTCGTAGCAGCATCATGCCAATGTATCTCGGCTTACTCTGAGAGCGCTGTCACCATGGTGTGACTATTACTGTGATTAGAGCATTTTTTTTTTTTTTTTTTTTGCATTAGGTACATGCAAAATCCTTTCTGGGAAAAAGAATTTCTTTTAAGTTCAACATTATGTTCTCTCTCACCCCTAGAGAAATTCAATGAACTCTTTTCATTTCATAAATGGACACTGGAATTAGGTTTAGTTGCTCTTTAATGCGCTAGCACCTGAGGCTGGTCATATTCAGAAAGCTTTGGTTAAAAAGAAGTTAATATATTTTAATAAAACCATCCCCAAATTTAGTGAATCAGAACGACAGAAAACAAAGGAAACAAAACCAAACCAAAATAAAAATACACCATTTCTCCCCAAAGGAGAAACAATAGGAGAAACACGGACAAATAAATAACTGAACTAAGCTTGGTACTTTTTTCAGAGTATAAATACTATTGCTCTTTAAAGGAACTATGCTTATTTAAATTAAAAATTTGCTTTAACCCCTCCTGCCCAAATATAAATACTATATGCTTATAGTTAACCTCTCTATATAAACACTCATAAAGTTTTATATGCTTGTAAGAAATTTAAGTAAATAATACTCTTGTCTTCTATTTATGGTTAAACCCTTACTATATTTTTTTTGGGGAAAAAGTTAGATGTCATTTAGGCTTCATACACACTTTTGTGTGAATAATTCCTTCTCCTTTTCCAAGTCCCTCAGGAAGCAAGTCGGGAAGTCAGAGGAGGTCTGAGCAGAGTGGAGAGCTCTGGGAAGCCTGCACTGGGATCCGGCCTGACACCAGAGCCACAGTCCCCACAGGAGAGTCGGGCGGGCCCAGGTGGTCCAGGAGACACTTTCTCCACTATAAAGGGCTTCTAGGAAACTCACACCTTAGCACTACGGGAGGATGACTTCTTTACTGAACAAACGTGGCCTTTGATGTCAGACCAGAAGTTTGACTCCTCCCCCGAGTGGGACTGAAATCATCATCTCAATGCCTACCATCCCAAAGGTCACTTATTGTTAAAATATGCTCACTTGTGTGTCAGACAGTTCCTTCCCCCTTCCCCCACTGGGAATTATTTTTAAAAATCCATGAAATTAAAAAAAACACAACCCTCACTCTATCTCACCTGAACACTAAAACCAAGCAATCTTCTAAATATTTAATGAAATAAATTATAGTCCACAGTTTTCTAGCGACGATAAATACAAAAGTACATGTTTGCAGTTAGCACTGACTTCACTTTAAAGGCTTAAAATATTTAATATTTAAATAACAGAAACTAATTCAACATGGTATGCCTCCCTCACCCTCTCATTCATTGTCTATGAAATATGGAGAGCAACGTTCTAGAATTGTAGCATCTAGAGGCAGCTAGTCTAGAAATAGTTCACTCTGAGATCAACCCTTACAGTTCCTAGATTACACCAAGAACATAAACTTTCACAGAGTAAATGCTTTATGTCCTCATGTGAGGAGTGTGCGTTTGCTCCACATATAAATCTTTGGGTCCTTCTTATAATCAAAGCTAGATTCCAATAAACTATTCTGGTTACTGATTTGTTCTCAAAGCATACGAACTCCAAGTTGAGGCTGAGTCTATATAACTACTGAATTGTATAAAACGAGCCTCCTCTCCCCTGCCTCCTTTAGGTGGCATTTACAAAAGCTTTTTAAAAAATAATATTCATGATGGTATAAGTCCACAGCACCAATCAACCATTCAACTTTGTATGAAGCATAAACACATCTATCCTTAAACTTACCCAAATGCAAGGTGTAATTTAGGGAGAGTTCAGTTTCTAATTCCAAATTCACACGTAAAAAAATAATAATCCAACATCGTGATTTCTAGATATGACCAGCCAGTCTTTTGAAAGTAATTTTGTAAACAGCAGCATAAATACCTCCCGACGTACCTTCCAAGCCTTCTCAGTAAAACTTGTGTTTCTGGTGCACATGCGACACGACAGTGAACACGCTAGCATTTAATTTAAAGAAAAAGGTGCAAAATGAAAGTGCCTTATCAATTCAACAGGAAAAGCTACACCAGTAACTACATTTTATATTAATTAAAACAATATATAAACAATATCTCTTTTAGCTATATATAGTCTTCATGCCCATTTACCCTGTAATATATTATAATGCTATTGTTGCTAGTGCTATGGACCCTTTACGTGCCATCCTGCTGACTGGCAATAATCGGTGAAAAAAAAATAAAAACTTCCTTCATGAGACAAAGAGCAAGTTGTGCAAAGTAATGCTGCAACCTCCGCTATGCACACCGGTCACCGATTATTGCTGGACTCTCTTGTTACTAACAGATTGGTGACTCTGCAGAAAGTCTGTGGGCAGTGAGCTACAAGAAAAGGAAATCTTCCAACTTTAGTACCCTCCTTCTGTTGTAAACAGAGGTCAATGATCAAGAAGTCGAGACAGAAAAAGGGTCCATATCTGTAGGCATAATGGAAATCATATGCATGAGAAAAACAAGTTCAACTTTTATTTGTTTTCATTGTTTCCCCTCCTTTGCCTGACCCCGATCACCAAAAGATGTGCAGTGTGTTGGCGCTCCAGGTCTGTGCAGGGCCATATAAAGTGTCTCGGTTAATATTTTTTGTTTGTTTTTCATGTTTGTACTTCAGACATTCTAGAAGCGCTTAGGTGATACATTTACCCATCAATTTGCATTGCTGGCTCAAATTCTGAAGTGAACAACTCCTTGTATAATGGAGGAAAATGAAGTCGCACAATGTCTGGATATATTGCTTTAAATGCCATTAGCTTTTCTGTATGTCGTCCACATAAGGCTCTTAATGTAGACACCTTGCATATTAACTGTAAGGTGGAAGAAAGGACATGTTGTCAGGGGAGAACAGACGTGAGAATCAAAATTCAGGGAATCTGGATGATCTTTACAACACTGTTTATCATGGCGAAACACACTTAAAGCAACTTAAATGTCTAGTAATAGAGGATTGGTAAAAATAAATGGGGATACAGCTATATCATAGAATACCAGGCATACATTAAACTCTAATGACAATGAGTTTCTTCTCGAGAAAGAGTATCAAAAACAAAGCAACAATTAACCCCCAATTTTCGCTCTCTGACCTAACCTAGTTATCAGGAGAACATAGAAAAAAAATAAATAAACAGGAAAAAGAAACACTTTCAAATCATCCTCTGGAACAATAAAACACATTAAAAAATCTAAGAAGGGGCTGATTTTTCTAAGACCAAATACATACTCCTGGCTCTAGCACTGAAGAATATTAGCAGATTTTAATTTGACATCCTAATTATGCTTTTATTGTAAAATATCATAATTAGCAAAAATGAAACTTTATGCTTTGAATACAAGGTAGTAATGGTAAATTGATGAAGAAAATAAAAAAAGTCATTTATTGTTGATGATTGATGAATTTAATGGAAATTGAACTAATATCAGAATATAAGGTTATCCTGGTTAATTGTTTTAGTGCTTCATAATTTTCTCTTCCAACATTCAAAAATTCTATCAATGCAAAACATTAACTCTGCTTTGTGTTCAACTTTGATGGACTAGGAAGAGGATTTCCAGAATGTATTAATTGTTAAAAAAAAAATTCTACTACATTATTTCCCTATTACTGTAGGGCACTTTATAAGCAATGATGATAAATAGAATTTAACCAGAAGTTTGGCCCAACAGAACTCTTTTGAAATGGAGATATTTATTCCTTTCAGTGGCCTGTTGCTTACTGATACTTTTGGGGGCTGGTCAGATGACCTACAAGGGCGCTTGGTATGTGGCAAGGGGTAATTCAAGCTATGTCAACTGGAAACCGCTGGTTCTCACCTTTGTTAGTATTCCGTCTTCTCGGTGATTCTTCTGTAGGACGTGTTGAAGAGCTAGCTGAATTTTCTGTTGCAGTTTTTCAATTTTTACCTTTTCCTGCAGCCATGAGCGATCTAAACATGAGAAATGATAGCCCTTAGTGTTCCTCCAACATGGTGACAGGTACCCAACTCCTCCTGACTCTTAGACGCAGAGTATCATACCACAAACCAGAGTTAGAGACTAGCAGGCCAGTTTCACTATTCTTTCAAAATATATTCCTAAGGGAGTGGGAAACTGATCTATGACAGGTATAAAGGGTATTAAACATTTCCATTCTTACTGGTATTTAAAGGAAGGGAGGGTGCTCCCCTTCCAAAAAGGATAGCAATTTAAATCTAAGGTCATGTACATACAGGTACAATGAAATCACTATGGCCCTTCAAGCCTTTCTAAGAATAACATTTCTGAATGAAATATTCATAGCAATTCTGATAGCCTTTCTAGAAATTATGGAGATAATCTTATAATATAAGACAACTAAAACTGCCAATAGAATTCCAGATGACTTAAAAGTTGGTAATTTAGGATGAATTCTTTATGTGTAAGAATTCCAAGTAGAAGACAGTACACTGATGATCTCCAAGAGGCAGTGCTGGTGAAAACATGGATTAAATGCACATAAACTTGTAGAGGACATCCAAGTAGATTTCAGGAAAAAGTTGGATGTTATCTTGGAGACTGGTACTAAGAAGGACAACCCGACTCCACCATACCATTTCTCTTGGTGTCAGGAGGTTAATTGTGGACTGGGTTTTACTCAATTCTCATTTATTAGGAGTTTATCAGAATGGCATGAGTCTTCTTAAAAGGCAGATGTATGTGTGTGTGTGTGCGGGGAGGTTGTTATTTGAAAAAATTAAAAATAGGCTTAATAAGTGAGGCAGCCTCTCTTGGCAGCCTCCAGAATAGTCTAAAAGTTATGGACCTTGTAAAAAGTCTCTACCTGGACAATTTTTAAACCACTTTATTTTTATTTGGTTCTGTTACCTGCTGACATCAGTACAAATGCAGAAAATAATGCAATTTCATCTTCCGTCAGGTGCATAGAACATAAACTCTTTCCAAATTCAAATACAAAGCTAATAAAATCTTCACAACCTGCCAACATTAAAATAAAGAGAGTTTAGGGTTTTGATAATTATCCTAGGACAAAAATATGGAAGAAGGTGAAGAGGGATAGTGATAACATTTCTACAGTTTGAGAGTTTGAAATCTTAGAGGAAACATCTATTTAGCCAACATCATTATCACTACCACCATCCCTATCATCATCATCATCATCATCATCATCATCATCATCTCATCATTCAAAATAATGAGAGTAAACTTCTTGTGCTGAGTGATTCCTATGTTAGGTACTGCTCTAAGAAATTTCTTTGGGTTTCCTACTATTTCACAACAGCCCTATTAAGGACGTATTATTTTTATTATCCCCATTTTAGAGGTGAAAAAACAAAGTTGGAGAGGAAAGTGATATACCTAAGGTTATACATAGGAAGTAACATCCTGAGATTCTAAGTCAGGGTGCTTGACTTCAGAGCTCACACTCCTAACCAACAGAGTTTAACAGCTATAATCTTACTGAAATGTGAAAACCTCTCATTTTGATGTTTGTCTCTATTTCCTCTAAATTCTAACAAATGACATATTATAGTGGTGAAATCACTGTAACTGGTACAGAATTGAAAATATAGAATGTGAAAGTCCTATAAAAAATGATCCATTACCCAAAGACTGGTTAAGTGTGGTGTCTATTTTTTCAGATTTGCATATTATATTTACACACACACACATTATTGTATGGAAAATAATACAATAATTAATAATGTTATAAGAATAAACTGTTTCACGTACTCACAACTGTACACCTACTTTTCCCACCCTGTATTTTAAATGGAAACAGACTATCCACCCCTTCTGTCATTTTGATGTTTTAAAATTCACATAAGCTATCTTGGATACTGTCCCAATCTTAATAACTATAAACCACTTTATTTAAATTATAAAATCCAATATAAATTATTTATATGGTGTATGTCAGTTTCACTTAGTAATACTTTATTTCTCTGAGATCTACATTTAATTCTCATTAATAATTACCTGAGGGCACACTTTGAGCTCTTTGTTTGATTTTATGTATCAGATCACATCCTCTAATTTATCTAAATAATATGCCCCCTGCTTATCTGGATCTTAAAATTTGGAAGGACGCTGAATGGATATGTAATATAAATGTCTTCAGTTGCCAACTAGATAAAATGAAATATTGGATCTTCACAGGTAATACAGGCAAAGAGCATCTGAGGCATGTGAATTTTCTATAGTGTCTAGCTATAAAGTAAAATAGGTATAAAATTCTTTAATTATTGTTTCCAAATAACCAGTTTCCATATTGTTCAAAAAGAGGTTTCACCCAGCTCCCACCTGTTCCTGTAACTCTGATTTAAAGACAAACAGCCAGAGACTTCCTTACCTAAGGATTTGAAGACATCAGGGCAAGCATATTTCCCATCAAAGTACACGGTGTTGTTCTGAGAGTCAAAGGCACGGCACATTCTGATGAACACCACCTCTAGAGAACCTACGAAAAGGCAGGAGGGCGTGGGTTATTCCACCTTGGCGAGTTGATTTCAAAGGCACTGATGTAGAGACCCGTTTCTGAGTGAGTACCCTGGGGGTTGTGTAGCCAGTGGGTGCTCAGTCACATTGCCTCTCTGTCTAAAAGGGCAAAGTTCACTAGTGTAATGAAACACCTGTGCTGAAGCCAAGGTCTGCTTCACTGAAGAGAGGAGTGATTTACAAATTACTTCTTTGCCACTCTTCTATCTTGCAGTAAGAAGTTTCAGAGTTGATAATCAAACATTTATTCATATTTATTAAAACAAATAAAAAGCCCTGGCCGGGTTGTTCAGTTGGTTAGAGCATTGTTCCCATCTGCCAAGGTTGCGGGTTTGATCCCGGTCAGGGCACATACAAGAACCAACCAATAAATGCATAAATAAGTGGAACAACAAAATCAATCTCTCTCTCTCTCTCTTTCTCTCTCTCTCTCTCTCTCTCTCTCTCTCTCTCTCTCTCTCTCTCTCTCTCTCCCCCTCCCTCCCTCCCTCCCTTCTTCCCTCCCTCCCTCTTTCTCTCTCTCCCCCTTCTCTAAAATCAATTAAAAACTTAAAAAACAGCCGAAACCGGTTTGGCTCAGTGGATAGAGCGTCGGCCTGCGGACTGAAAGGTCGCAGGTTCGATTCCAGTCAGGGGCATGTACTTGGGTTGCAGGCACATCCCCAGTGGGGGATGCGCAGGAGGCGGCTGATCGATGTTTCTCTCTCATCGATGTTTCTGACTCTCTATCTCTCTCCCTTCCTCTCTGTAAAAAATCAATAAAATATATTAAAAAAATTTTATAAAACTTAAAAAACAAACAAGCAAAAAAACCCAAAAAACAAACAAAAAAACTCCCCAGGGCTCTCTCTGAGTTTCCAGTCTTTTTCCTAACAACTTATTGGAAGCTCTGAGGACCTGAAGTGTAAAACAAAACACAGGCAATGGTAAAATTGGGAATGCAGGTGTCCTTCAAATTAATCTTTTCACTCAGAGAAGACTATGGAGGGAAGGTTCCCGGCAAATAGCTCCAAAACCTTTAAGAAGAATTCAGTCTCTGCTAAGAGAAACCTAATCTATTATCATCGGAGAAAAACTGTTCCCGACACCTTCCTTACCAAGCATTTCTTTAATAGGCAGGTGAAAGCAGGTTAGGAAGAGATCTCAAAATTCACTTGCAAAGCACATACCTGCTTTGAGAAGCACAATTTGATCGTTTTGACACAGTTCCATAAATCCATCGATGCGTTTGGCAAACTCCACCACGTACTGTATAGCTTCTGTGATTTTGATGGCACACAACTGCCACATCACCTCCCGCTGCTGTTAAAGGAGGAGACCGGTTAGCATCCATGGTTACCCACATCCGTGGCTCAATGGGTTTAACTATTCCTCTTTTGTAAAATCCTTCTTTGGAAATGGACTCAAACAGGCTAGAGGTTTAAAAAGTAAACAGTTGGCCAGCTATTTGATACAATGATTGCTTCCAAGTCCCTTCTCATCTTCAATTCCTCTCTTACCTCCTTAGTGGCAAAGGGACCAGGGAAGATATTATGAGCATCTATGTAGCAGAAGATGAAAATACAGGTCACTGCTTTCACCCTGAGCTGCAGAGAATAGCAAAGCAGGGTCTTCTTTTAAGCAATTATTTTGCCTTGGGGAATTTAACAGCATTTTACTGGGGGAAGGGGACTATAGGGGGAGTCAATCACATGTATTGTATGCCTGTTATGCGCTAGGTGCTTTATGACACCCTTGTCTTATTTCATTTTCACAAGAGCATCTCCCCGTTTTCCATAAATGGGCACAGATGCTCAGGGAGATTTCACAGTGAATAGGTGTCAGAGCTGGGATTCAACTCCTAGCATCTCTGACTCTGAATCCCATTCCAGACACTTTGCTGCTTCTTACTGCTTTCCTGCTTCCCTCTGTACTTCCCTTTGGCTGCTGGTATTACCCTCTATAGCAAAGACAAACAAAGGGTGTGTTGCTATTCCCAACCTGTCCTGTTTAATTCTTTTTATATACCCACTCTCCAGTTCAGTGACAGGGGAACCTGAATCAGCGGTGGTGTTTGGTTGTTCCCCCAACCTTAGTGTAAGACTGTTTCCACCAATAGGACGGGGTGGAAGAAACACTGAATTAGGAGCTGGCGTCATGGTCTAGTCCTGGTGTTTGTACTCTCCAACCACATGCCAATGGAAATTAGTGTCCTCCTATGTAAAATGAGGGGCAGCATTAGCCTAAATACTCTCTAGGGTCCTTCCTAAGTCTGAATTTCTATATCAGGGGAAAACACCACATTTTCTTTACCCAAAGGGAGAATAAATAATTGAAAGTTCCCCTTCTCTAGCCCTGCCCTCCCATTTTGGTGGCTTGTTGATCACATTGTTTTATAGAAAAAAAGTCAAGTAGCAACACTTGTCAGCCTCACACTGTTAGGTTCAGACTGGAGTGACAACCTTGGATTCCAAACCTTCCTGTGAACATACTCTCTAAACTCCTTTGTCTGAGCCTCTTGGAACATGAGGCTAAGATTACGCATTTTACACGAACTTCCTGATCTTGAATCAACATTCCATTATGATAGTGGGACAAATCCCAATTCATTTAGATTTCTGGAAACTGCTTAATGTAGTGCCCTGTTGACAAATGATAGGAGATGTGTGTACAGTTTGTTTGCTACTGCTGAATTTGTTTGCTACTGCTGAAACAGAATTTGTTTGCTACTGCTGAAATTTTGCATGCTGGCATCTCAGTAAGAAGACAAAACCTCAAGTACATAATCAGCTCTGGAAGCAAGAGTTTTACACAGAAATCTGATATCTGATGTAAGGCATTCATTTTTTGGCCTTTGGTAGTCTTGACCAAATCCCCTGCAGGAAAACCCCTCCCACTTTCCCTCCTCCCTTGGTAAATTCTCCAGAGTATACCTTGTTCTGATAGTTCTCAATCTCCTCCTGCAGAAAGGTCTGCCACGTTATCTGCTGGAGCTCTTCTCTCAAGTATTGGCAAGTTTCCAGATGTGATTTAGATATATTCTGTGCAAGGTGTTCTAAGCAGAAAACAGGAGATCACAACATGAAAACCAAGCTCTTTGGGTAATCGGTGTTTTTCCCTGCTTAATATATGCTTTAAAAAGTAACAATCGGAAAGCATCATGTGGATCCAGTTTTATGATCTTTATGCACTTAAATAAGCAATCTGGAACTATTCTGTTTTTTGGAACATGAGCATGAAAGACAGGCAAAGCAAGCAACAGTTAGCAATAAATCTTGGTGACTTCAAAGACACTCCTGACCCTGACCTTCTTCCATGCCTTTCCACCGATGTCTTGGAATGAACAAATATTGATCTAGATAGGCGTGGGAAATGATGGGCACAGCCTCTTCTTGGCATTTTTATAAGGACACACCTGCCATATACACTGACCTAAGTTTTACTCTTGAAAAATTAGTAAGTGGTACTCTTTTATGACAACAGCAATGCATTTCTTTAGTGTTTTTTTGCAGACAGTAGAACAAGCATTACTGAGGGCCTACTATGTTTGCTATACATAGTTCAGTGGTTAAGAATAGACTCTGGAACCAAAATGACTGAGTTTGAACCTCAGCCCTGCTACTTACTAGCTGTGTGATCTTGGGTAAGTTATTTAACCTCTCTGTGTTTTGGTTTCTTAATTGTAAAACAAGGAAGGTAGTATCTATTCCATAGGGCTTCTGTGAGAATTAAATGAGTTGAGCATTTAGGGAGAGTTACAAAGTGAGTGCTAGCTAACATTAGTTCTTATTATACTATAATATAGGGACTTGGAAGATATTATAAGAGATAGATGCCAAAAAAGCTTCTCTAGGGATTTATAATGTGGTGAGCATGTATGGACATGCTGAAAGGACAATTCAAGGCATGAGACAATAAAGGATAAAGTTGAGCCCCGCCTGTGTGGCTCAGTGGTTGAGCATTGATCCATGAACCAGGAGGTCATGATTTGATTCCCAGTCAGGGCACATGCCTAGGTTGTTGGGGGCATGCAGGAGGCAGCCGATCAATAATTCTCATCATTGATGTTTCTCTCTCCCTTCCTCTCTCTGACATCAATCCTATAAAATAAAAGGCTAATATGCAAATTATCTGCTCGACCAGGAGTTTGACTAGGGGGTGGGGCCAGCAGGCCAATTTCCCACACCCTCTCCCCCTGGTGAGCCTGCTGGATTGGTGCGGGTGAGCCAGACCCCAACTGTGCATGAATTCGTGCATTGAGCCTCTAGTAAAAAATATTTTTAAAAAAGTGTAAAGTTGAATCATATCAGAAGAGAAAGAAAAAATGATAATAGATGCTGTCAGGGAAGGGAGAGGTGAAATATTTTGCCTTAGGGAAATTAGTGGGTGCTTCTCGGCAGCAGAAGAGGGGCATTTGAATTGGAGCCTGAAGGATGGGTAGGTGGAGGCCACCTGAAGGAGCCTGAAGGATTGGTAGGTGGAGGCCAGTGGTGTGAGGGGTAGGCCAGTTCTACATTCGAGGGAGGGCCGATGAAGGAACCAACATAGCATTTATAGGACAGGAAGATGTGATAAAGTGATAGAATCAAAATAGAAATATGAGAAGGTAAGAGTCCAAATCCTGAAGGATCTTGAGTGTAAGGATTGAGTCTGGACTTGATAAAACAAAAGGAGTACACAGGATTCTCCAGGAGTGGAGGTACTGAACACTGCACCTGGGGAAACAGAACCAGCAGTTCCGTGATTGGATTGGAGGATGGAGAAGATGGGGGCAGCAGGGCCACATAGAAGGCTGCTGGAACTAGATGTGAGGGACTAAGAGCTGGAAGCAGGCTGGCAATCATTGTTATGGAAGGGAAGGATAGTGAAAAGTTTTAAAAGAAAAATTGATAAGATTCTGTGAATATGAAACCATACCAAAAAGGAATCCCCCCCTCAGGGCCTTGAATATTAAATAGGAACGCCATTTAAAAGAATGGTGTTCAATGTAAACTGGGTAACAGTAGTAAGACTATTTATCTGGGAATTTGTTGCTGCTTTTTGTCAAAACAGAATCAGATTTGTCTGCATGAAAATAGAGCAAGCTCACCTCCAGGAAGCCTGAAATTAGGGCAAGCATGTCACACTCATGGCCGGCGGGCCGCAAGCGACCCACAACGAATATTTTTGCGGCCTAGTCAATATAATGGTATGTAAGAAACATTTTAATAAAAATTTCGTAACTTAATTTTTACAATATCCTGTTATACATAATTATTAATAATGAACTACAACGTTTGCTAATGACTACTATAATCTGGTTGCATTCATTTCCCTTACGTGCCTTGCGTACAGGCACACCATTTCTCTCCACTAATACTAGCAGCGAATATGTTAGGGCTGATTGCCTTGTCATTAGTCTTGGACTGACCTGTTTGGTGTGCGCAACTGGAAATATTTCACTTTTGGAGAACAAGAAAAATAGGTTCATTTGCATTACGCTTATTAATTTGTGCAGTTATTCAGTATCTGGTAAGTTAATGTTCAAGAAAAAATATTAGTTTTTAAAAAAATGTTTTATTATTTTATGTTAACGATTACTCATTTATTTCAGCCCTTCGTATTCAGCATGACTCTATCAAAATAAACCTATGTTTCTGTGAAAATTGAAGCTTTTGCTTTTTTGCGGCCCACATAAACTTAAACCTTGTTTATTTGGCCCATGTTAGCCTTTGAGTTTAACATGCTTGCTTTAGAGACACTGGGACAATAAATCTTAATGGCCCTATTCACAACACACAGCAACAAAACAATACAAATCAATATCATAAAAATAGAACGCGAACAAAAGAAAAGAATTTAAAGGGAAAACACAGAGAAGCTGAGAGGAAGAGGGAGAAGCCAGTAAATCATCTGTCTTAGAAATAATGACGTTTGTGAAGAGGAGAATAAAGACAAAAATAATGAGAAGTCAGAAACAAGCAGTGTGTAAATAAGTCTGTGAACTATGGCCTATAGAAAGAGCGTCAACAGATTCCAGAATGTAAACCAAGTTTTGCAGATATGAAAAAATGATGAATAGTTCACAGAGAAACGGGGATCCTGTGAGGAAAAGGGAGCGAAGAAGATCATAGTGTTCTCTTCCAGATCATGCTTTTCCCCCAGTTAATATGGTCAGCATGTTGTTATTTCACTTCATCCTAAAAATCGTTCCCACTCACCCCTACCTGTAGTGGAAGTGAATGATACAATGTATGTGACTAACCAGTAGAGGGCAGTGGCTGCTTTCTTGCCAACTGCTCACCAACTGCCTTTGACTCCTGATTCACGAGTGGATTTGGCAAGTGTAAGATCTTAGACACTTTGCTGTTTTTAAATCTCCACTTCAGCGAAGGAGAACATGTCAGACTGAGTAAAAGTCAACAAGTTAGTGTGGTCTCTCAGCAAAAGAGCCTGGAATAGTGAAACACTTGGAACTAGGAGTTAGGAGACCTGGTTTCTGGTCTGAGTTCAGAGGATAACTCACGCTCTGATGGGCAAATCAGCTCACTCCTCAATCAGGATAGCTTCATCAATATGGCCAAGGTCATACTTCAGATGGAAAATCCTGACTTCTGAGTTAGTCACAGATTTTCTCAGTGGGGAGGAATGTTAGACATCATCTGGTTCAAACTCTCTTCAGTTTACAGATAATAACAATATTAATAGTGATGATAATTAACACTTATGTAGCATTTACTATGTGCCACCCGTATAATATATATTCAGAATATATATATATATATATATATATATATATATATATATATACACACACACACACACACATATTCTTTTCTTTTTTATTATTTAATCTTAGTAACAACCCTAGGAGGAAGGTACTAGTATTATCTCCATTTTATAGAGGTGTCATAGGTGGCAAGTGGCCAATTTTAAACACACACAGTTTGGCTCCAGAGTCTTTATACTCAATATGTAGAGAGACTATAGCTTGCAGAGTTTACATGATTTATACTGGGTTGTAGTACCTTTCGCAAAGCCAGGACCACAACCCATATAAGCTGACTTCTTGTCTCACGCTTTGCCCAGCATGTCACTGTCTCTCTTGCATGGGCTTTAGTTTTTTTATTACAGTATAATTGCAGTTAGTTTTTTTTAATGAACCTAGATGGCTTATCTAGAGTATGTAATTCAGGTACTAATTATACATCAAGGGCAACACTTCCTGGCCATGAATGCAGACATATTCCCATTAAAAGTAATGGATTGTGGATACTATTATTGAAAGAATTGGGCTTCCAATATGTTAATTTATAATTTATTTTCCAATTGAATAATGTTTTCATTTGTTTAAAATCTGATGACAAAATTTAGCCTAAAATGGAGTCAAGAGTCTTAGTTAACGAGATAGCAGGACTTAAGCCCAAAAGGAAATACAGCTGTGAAGAAGGAACAGCAAAGTCTTTGGTCACTTCTAGGCTACTCTTAACTCTTCAAACTATTTTGTACAAGTAAGTGGGACAGAAAATATCCTTTTCAGATAAATTCTTGTTTAAGTTTTGAGTGTTGGACTTAGTGACAAGTTAAGTTTATTCATCCTGGAAAATGCCACAACACATGTAAAAACTCCCTCATTTAGGAGAACCTGGAGAATGTATGAGGGCATCGAGCTCCCAGACTACACCGGGAGATGACACGAGAGGAAGAGGAAACTGGTTTGTGGGGGAAGAGGAAGCTGGGGGAATCTGCTTAGCATTTCTGGCCCCACTCAGGTACTCACGAGTACACATTTAGCCTAAGTGCCACCTTCACGGGAAACACTTCTGCTAAGTCCTGTGGATTTATTTCATGGTTGAATATTTGATAAGCAAACTGGATAGACTCACTAGTATTTATGGTAAGGTGGAAGCAGACCCAAGGTAAAGTGAGCCAGGTGATTTTTCATGATATCATGCCAGCTTTCAATCAAATCCTTATTCATTTCTGAAAACTTTACTTTCATTACCGTTCTGCTTAAGGCTCAGCCAACCAAGATTTCATGACAAAAATGTAAGGTTTTTGTTCTAGTTCAAGAAAAATAAAATCAAACCTACCTCTGCTCAGCTTGGCTTCTAGTTCAGAGGTTTCTCTGTTAATCAAAAGAGCTGCGATCCACCTTTCGAGCTGCTCAGTGGTTACAGACCAGGCTTAAAATGGCCCTGCTCTTGAGGATTTAAATTTAGACCCATAAAGAGGCGCTTGTGCAAAAACCGTAAAGAACATTCAATTTGTTCTATTTGGAGAGATATTTTACTGGAAATATAAATTTCACTTAGAAACGTTTTATGGGGTACAGAGGTGGGGAAGCCATCTAAAGAGCACAACGGCTTTTCCTGTGAACTGAGGATTTCGGTGCTCAAGTCAGCACCCGCCCGTGCCTTTCCATCTGAAGTCTTTATTCTCTCCGCGTATTAACTGAGCCATCGCCACAGCAGCTAATTGAAATATCCCAAAGGATTATAACCTTGTGTGAGGAGTCATGGGGAGGGACAGATCAAACTCTAAAACTGCAAAGGTTCTTATCAAAGTTCCTCTGACAACAGTGCTGTCCTTAAAAATCGATTAAATATATCAGAGGATGCTAACACAGCCTCCTTGAAATGGAAAGTTTTTCATTGTCTGTGTTGTTAACATTTCTAGGTCACATCACCCAAGAAGCAAAAATGTCACAGGAATAAGAAATTGACAGGATATTTTTCTTTCTTTCTTTTTTTGTTGTTGTGTGTGTGTGGTTTTTTTGTTTTTGTTTTTGTGTTTTGTTTTGTTTTGTTTTTTTTTTTGTGTGTGTGTTTTTGTGTATGGTGAGTCTTCTATGAAAAACATCAGTTTTGTCACCAATATCCATCATCAAAACATTCTGGCAAATAAAGAAGGCCATTTCCCTTTAACATCTATAGCATACACCAGGATTGCAACACTTGCAGGCATGGGCAATCACACAGATGGGGGAAGAGGGGCGGGCCCACCTCAAGGTGTTAGCTGATGCCACTTAATTGTTGCTGGTCCCTTATACCTCGATTATTTGCTCCCTCCCATAAGAAGCTGACTATCTGAATTTTTATGTGGACCAGTTTTTAAATTTTGGCAACTGACTCAAAAATTTAAAACTCTGTATTAATCCGAAAATATATTATGGGCCAGATTCAGTTTGTGGACTGCCATTTTTATGACTTCAGGTATAAAGCAATACCTGGAATATAAGTACGTAAATAACTAATGAAGTTAATGGGGCCCTTCCCTGGACTTACCAGTTTTCTGTGGCATTTTAAGACTGCTTTAAGTTCATGTCGACCCATCTCTGAAGCTGAGAGGTCAAGATTTCTCTTGCATATACAATGAAATAGTGGACAGTCAAAAGCAAGGGGGCAGGTGGGATTATGAAGTGGTCCAAAGGGTAAAGGTATATTTCCCTTCTAGCTCCATCATTTTAATAACATCATAACTCATTAGAGGAAAGCCAGGCATATCCTATTTACTTCATAGGGCATAAATAGCACATCCCAATAGAAACATGGAAGCCATTACCTAATTCTGCCATGGACACAGTTGGAGAAGTCTCTCCATTGGTGAAGGAACAGTAGGGAAAGAAGCCTGATGCTGGTGTGTAGTCACATATTGGTTCTGGTTTGATTCCATTGATATCAAGACCTGACTGGTCTGGGGAAGGCTGTATGTCCAGGTAGAAGCTGCTGACGGCAGAGTCTGCCTTGCTCCCCTCAGGGGTGTGCCCGTCGATGTAGTTGCTGAGGTCGTCGTGTAGTTCCGTCAGCCCGTTGGCCGAGATGTTGTAGGTTGGAGTCAGCGGCTCGGCCTCTCCGGGCTGCTGCTGGTGGTCTCGCTGCTGCTGCTGCATCCGGTGTTTCTGCACTTCTGCGTACAAGCTGTCTCTCTGCTTCTTCGACATTCGGCCAAATTTTACAGCTGGAAGACACAAGCCAAACCACACCATATACAATGTGCTTTTCTTCACTCTCCTTTCCGGCATGCTTTAGGGGTTCCTTTGAAGTCTCAGACAATCTCAATCAAAACCCACATAACCACAAAATAAGGATGTGATCCAACAGTCCCACCCCACACCCACAACAGCAAAGACACATCCCAGAGGAACGAAGGACGAGTAGGTAGGAGAGACCTGGGGCAATGACCTCCCATGGTTTCCTGCTGTCATAAGACCCTATGCTCAGTGGGAGCCACTGGTATGTGACTGAGCGGGCTTGTTCACTCCCCACTCATGTGGCCGGGCTGGACCACCTCTCTCTCTTCATGGTGTTCAGATTAATGTACAGACTCAGAGGTACATCGAGGCACAAGCAGTCATACCTCCATTTTCATTCATTCCACTATTCTGAACACTCAAATGAGTTCCTTCCCGATCAAACAGCTGGACCTGCGGCTTCACTGAGAGACCTGAACAGACTGGAGGAGGCCTTTGCGATTCCCTGAGTCACATCTCTGAGTCTACCGGAGAAGCCCCTCCCCTACACTGGGTCATGGCGGCCCTTGTAAAATGCTTGGACCCACATTTAAATGACACTTTCTACTGTTCTTATTTTGCCTCAAGTAAAAAGAGTATCAGAATTCTGGAAAGGGCAAACACTGTGTAAGATCCCTCCCCGTCAGACAAATTTGTGTTCTCGACACTTCTACTTGGGAGGTTCCGTATTTAAAGTGGAGCAATGATTGTAATAACTCTCCAGTTCATTCGGAATCCCAAATGATTTCTCCTGAAACACCGATATATCGGAGGGAAACACCCTATGATTTCCTGGTCTAAGCTCTTCCACCAACCCATTTATTTTTCAGCTCAACCCTGCCTATGTGGATTAAGCCTCTACTAGAGGGATTAAAATGTCCTAATTGTGGTTAAATTGATACCTGATGGGGTGGGTGAATTCAACTACTTAACCATCATCATAATTCGGTGAGTCTATGGGAAAGAGGCAGGATAAATGGATATGAAGTTGGGAACCAGGGCCACCATCTGTTAGATTCTTTTTCCACCAAGGAGAACACTCACTGTCCTTTTGCAGAGAGGGAACGAGTGAGCTTAATACTGGTCAATTTCTGGGTTCTAGGACTGAAGGAATGAACTTGGGTGGGGCTAGTTAGATAGCATGTAGGCTGATGTGGGCTCTGAATGTCAGACCTAAATTTGCATAAGCTCTCACTCAAATTCACTCTAAGCCCACAACAACGTGCACTGTCACTTCTATACAAAACCTCTGGGAGGCATACTGAAGGCATTTTACTAGTATTTCTGTGTGGAAGAATCTGTGTTCTAGAACACCCAAGGGGATTGATACCATAGGTGAAACTTGTTCTGTGTACTCTGAATGGTGTTTTAACGTCTGCCTGGATATTAACAACAGTAATCACACCATCCTGTAGGTGAAATGAAAAGATCAGCTATTGAGAAAATGCACACACAGCTTGTGATTTTAATTTACAAGTTCCTAAAAGATGAGCCCAACTTTGAGGATGAAATCTGCAGAGCTGCATACCACAGGAGTTTCTGAGAATACGGTGTAAGTTCTGGGACTTGCATATTCTGATGGCAACAACTTCGTTTTTGTTTTTATATATTCTAAGAGACTACCCTGTGCCTCTCTATGGGAGGTTATCATCACTTGTGCCTGGGCAGGTCCACAGACCCCAAGAACATCTGATTATGGGAAGAGAGGCTTTCAGAAGGCCTGCCCAGCATCCTGAAGTACTTTTCCACAGGCTGGAAGAGATGTTTCCTTCAAAGGGATCTCTTAAGAGAGCCAGCCAGTATACTCGGAAAAGTCCTGAAAAATGTACCCTCTGTACTTTCTGCCCAGTTTCCTTATATAAGAATAACTGCCTTGAAATCTGGTGTTGATTATTCAGTGCACTTAAGATAGTTTTCCAGGAAGATCGTGAAATGTTCTGCAACTGAGTGGTAGATGGTCTCTATTTCTTAAAATAGCTTCTTTTAATGAAAAGAACATTTGTCACCGAGCCACATTTTGCACTATTTTCACACATTCTGCATGTACAAATATTTGACTTTGGCATGTGATTCAAAATATGCAGTTAGCATAAAAGCCAATTCAACCCAATAAATTCACTAGTGTAAAGCATGTAACAATTGGCTCTCACCTGTGTGTTTCCTTCTGGGGAAAATGCCTGTAGGAGGTATATTTATTAAGGCCCTCAGATGACAATAACCTTTGATCAATTCATCCACCTGTAATATCTTAAACATAAAAAAATCCGAAGGTGTTCTGACCACACTTTCCAAGCACCATGCCATCAGCCAGCCAGCTGACTCGGATGGATTATGGAAGAGGAAATAACTGCCGTGAAACCCACAAAACCGCCAGGGGTGGGAGGGCATATTTTGGCAGATCTGAGTCCGGGTTTTAGAAGGCACTTTCATAACCCCATGTCACCACCCTACAATTCAAGCTGAGTGCTCACCATCTCGAGACATCCCTACAGCAAGGCATTTCTGTAATCGACAGTGTTGGCAGCGGTTTCTACTGGTTCGATCAATCAAACAGTTCTTCTGACGAGGACAGGAGTAGGTGGCATTGCTTTGCTGACTTCTCCTGAAAAAGCCCTGTGATTCGGTTATAAAATATAAAACAGGTTAGTGTCAGTTTGAGCTGTATGATACTAAAGGCAGTATACTAAGAACTGAGCGGCATTAATATTTAATGAGAATTAAACTTGTAGCGGAATCATCCAGGAGGCCATTAATGAAATTAAAGTCACTTCTTTTTCCTTGAGTAAAATTGATCCCCGGAGTCCAATCCTCCATCCCTTACACAGGCAAAACTTTCTTGAACTCCAGCAGACAGTTGCCAGGCCCTGTTCCTGGCTTCTGATGGCCAAAGCAATGTGTTGATGTAACAGCACAAAGACACTTTTATTTAACCTTTATCTCCTATATATATTTTAGTAGAGTAAACACAAAACACTTCTCTGGATGTCCAGAGACAGGGAAAAATGCATCCTTACTGTAACCCAGGGAAGCTGCAATCCTCCTACAGGTTGGTAATCTCTACTAACCCACTGAAATTCACCGCACTTTAGGTGTCTTGCATTCCCCAAGTCAGAATCTACTGGCCCAAGAAGTTAAAGATGCTTGGACGAATTATTTTGGCAGATCAATCAGATTGGGAATACGCAGCCCTGACAATTTGAAAATACCACATGACCTTTACGATTTAACAAATCCAATCTGATATTCATCAAGTTCCACTTATTTGTTAAGCAATGTGTTGGAGATGAGAGGGTGAACAAAAACACATAGGGAACTGCTGACTTCAAGGATTTCATTCATTCACTCACTAATTTTTGCTAACTTCTTGAGTTGGACCCATAATAGCTCATTAATTTTCAGTATTTATTCTTAAAAGCTACAAGGTTTCCTTTTAGTTATGTTTTAGTAGCAACCCACAAGTTTTGCCATGTAGTATTTTCATTATCATTCCATTGAAAACATGCCTTAATTTTAAATAGAGTTCTTTAATCCATATGTTATTTAGAAGCACATTTCTTAATATCCAATGATATGGGTGGTTTGGGGTTATCTTTTTATTGTTATCTCTCAGTGGGTTTGAAGTGCTCTGAAGAAAGAGCAGGAACCAGAGTTAATTCTATGAAGCAGAGCCATGAAGTACAAGAGTATTATCATCCTCAGATCTTTAAAAGTTAAGATAGATGATGCCAACCAAGGGGACACTAGTGGGGTTAGTGCCACTGGAGGGGAGAGATAAATCCTGAAGAACTGGCAGAGTGGTGGGCAGGTTGGAAAGGATATACTCTCTCACCTAAAGATTTTTCTGGACGGCAACTTAGCAGTTGTATCAAAATCCTTAAAAATGACCTCTCTCTTGAACCAATAATTGGTTTTTTAGGGAGTATATTCTTTTTTTAAAAAAATATGTATTTTATTGATTTTTTTTTACAGAGAGGAAGGGAGAGGGATAGAGAGTTAGAAACATCGATCAGCTGCCTCCTGCAATCAAGGTACATGCCCTTGACCAGAATCGAACCTAGGACCCTTCAGTCTGCAGGCCGATGCTGTATCCACGGAACCAAACCAGTTAGGGCTAGGGAATATATTCTAAAAGGATGTTAAGAACAGTACAAATATTTATCTGCAAGGATGTCCCTCACAGCACTATCTGTAATATAAAAAATTTAGAAGGATGCTAAATGTCCAACATTAATGAATTGGAAGTATCATTGGATATCCACACATTCAGCAACCATTAAAAATGGAATTTCAGAAATATAATTAATGACACAAAAAGGTATTAAAATATACTGCTAAATTTAAAAGAACAGCTAAAGATTAAAGACAATATAATCCAATTTTTTAAAAAAGAATCCATATATTTAACATAGAAGAAACTGGAAAATTATGCCCCCAAATGAAAAGATTTGGCACCGGTTGGTGAGGCCACATGTGATTTTCATTTTCTTCCTGCTTATCTGTGCTTTCTGATTTTTCTATAATGTGCAGGTGGAAGGTATGTGAGGCACTCGGGAAAAATAGTCTAGTACACCTGCTTCCTTTTGTGATGGCTGGGGGACTATGTGGCTTAAGTCAATGGATACGGTGATATGAACTCAATTCCTTCCTTTTGGAAGCCAACTTGGGATGAGAGGGAGGGAGCAGGGCGCTAACAACTCATCTCCTCTCTGCCAAGCTGCTCACTAACCTCAACGTGGGCAAGGCTTGTCTCTCTGTTGTACTTTAAACCTTCCTTATATCAAGTCTGGCTTCTTCTGTGAAGCAATTTCTCTTTTCTCAAAATATCTAAAGCTGTGGGTTGTTTTTTATTTCCTCTGTGAAGAGGAAGTGAGAAGAAGGAAAGCTTTCTTTGGAGCTTAATGGTGAGAATTCAAGAAAATATAAATGGTAACAGAAGCAGATAATCCTTAGAAAGAGATACCAAGAGGCCAGCTGTCTAGGTATTCAGTTTAGTTTGAGACGCAATCTCTGTCAAAGCTAAAAGGTATTTTTTTGGAGACTGTACCACCATGCAGACCCTCTGTGTCTGAATCTATCACTGCAAATGTCTAGGGTCAGGAATTATTTGCTTTTCCTTTAGTTGAGGCTGAATTTTGCTTGCTTGACAATGCTCCATTTTATTCTATGATCACTAAATATGGAGAACGTCTAAGTGATCTCTTTGTTTTCTTCAAATGGAAGCAGTAGTTGTCGGTTGCCAAGCTAACAATCAATATTTAGTCTGTACACCAAATCATAGCATCTGCCACCTTTCTTTCTAGGGTCTTTTCTACCTTTAGTATTTTTTCTCAGGATCATATCCAATTTCTCTGCTTTCTTCAAAAACCTGAAACCTAGAATTAGATACAGCTCTTGAATAATGACTGAGTCATTAACAAAATGAATGCTACTTTTTTGTTTTCATGTATTAAACTCAAGTTAACATCGACCACCACTAATAAAGTTCCAGAATGTTAGCACAGAAGCCCTATATAACCACCAGTTTGCTCTGCTATAAGGCAACTCTGAGAGGGCATGAAGGAGGAGGAGGAGGAGGAGGAGGACGAGGAGGAGGAGGAGGAGGGGCTAGGGACAGCAAGTGAGCAAATAGACACCCTGCTCTTCACAGCACCATTTATTGTTCACTAAGCCAGTTAAGCATGTGCCTAGAGTAGCAGAACTAAGAACCAGAGAAGAGATCTTTCTTTTGGACTAAGTCAACAGTCATGCTCACAAGGAGAGCTATAAAATACTAGATAGGAAGGGTCAAGTGGGATTATAAAGTATGAGCCCTGAAGGGAGAGAAGAAAAAGGTTAACCTCTGTGACACAGATAAACACCCAACTTTGCATGTCAGACAGAATGAGAACTTGGTCTTCCTTCTTTTTCCCCCACCTTCAACTCTTCTTTTCAGCATTCTTTGGAGGTTTCTCAGAGGTTTAAGGATTTAAGAAGTTAAACTAATAAAATATGTAAAGCTAATGAACATGTAAGAGGGAGAAAGATTAGAAGAGTGAGAAGGAAGAGAAGGGTGGAAAGATGGTAGGTATCTTTCTACTTAAACGTAGATGTATGGTCATAAATGTAGAAGCAGGATCTTGACTGATTGGGGGGGGGGGGCAATTCTGGAGAGGGTTTCACTGAGAAATGAGTGAGCTGAGACATTAGTTCTAGGGGTTAGGGAGTTTGAGGCCACACAGAGAACAGGGACAATACAAGCCAGTGCATGTAGTTTTGGGTGGAATGGAGGAAGTATGTAGAAAGAACAGAAAAAGTGCTGAAGCTGTGAGTTAGTTGGAAAAGATATTAAGCACATGATTTTGGAGTTTTATTTCTAAAAGATGAGCTAATGAATTATTTCATTAGCCTTTTCTTAAAAGTTCATTCTTTACAGATGTCAAAATACATGGAGATGTTCCATTATAAACATATTGAGCTTGAGCAGAGAGCCACCATGATGAATTTCAAGGTAACACAGCTCCTTGGTGTGACGGTGGCACATTACTCCCACCTAGTGGCAGCAAACTAACATGCATTTATTGCAAAGAGTAAATTAGAAGACAGCCCTTTAGAGGGAGTTGAGAAATGGTCAGTATAGTAGTTCTCAAAAAGCCATGGAATCACCGTGGAGCTTCTAAACAAATACTCTTTAGCTCTACTGAACCAGAACTTTTGGAGATGTAGTCCAGGCATACATATTACTTTAAACAATATGAAACTGTCATTTTTGTAGGTCAAAAGAGCAGAAATGTCAATTAAAAACTTTTAAAATTGAATGTACTGGGGTGACACTGGTTAATAAAATTATATAGGTTTCAGAGGTACATCATCTATATAATGTATTGTGTGTTCACCATCCCAAGTCAAGTCTCCCTCCATCACTATTTACCCCCTCTTTGCCCTCTCCTACCTCCCCAACCCCCTATCCCTCTGGTAATCACCATACTTTGTCTGTCTATTAAGTATCCTTTTTTTTTTTGCTTGATCCCTTCACCCCACTCTCTGCTGACAGCTGTCAGTCTGTTTTCTGTATTTATTTCTGCTTCTCTTTTGTCTGTTAGTTTATTCTGTACATTAGATGGAACATATAAGTGAAATCATGTGAAAAAAACCCACAAATGGCCTGGCCGGGTAGCTCAGGTGGTTAGAACGTTGTCCTGATATGCCAAGGCTGCAGGTTCAATCCCCTGGTCAGGCACATAAAAGAATCAACCAATGAATGCATAAATAAGTGGAACAACAAATCGATGTTTCTCTCTCTCAAATCAATAAATAAAAATATAAAAAATTGGACTATACCAAACTAGAAAGATTTTGTACAGCAAAGGTAACCATAAACAAGATGAAAAGACAACCCACTAAATGGGAGAATATATTTGCTAATGATACATCTGATAAGGGGTTAATATCCAAAATTTATAAAGAACTTATAAAATTTAACACCAAATAACCCTCCAGGAAATCCAATTAAAAATGGACAAAGGACTTGAATAGACACTTCTCCAAAGAAGACATACAGATGGCCAAGAGACATGCAAAAATGCTCAATATCACTAATCATCAGAAAAATGCAAAGTAAGACCACACTGAGATAT